TCTGCCAGAGCATGGGTCCAAGAGAATAGGCACACACTTAGAAAACCTCTGCTGGTCTCCCAGTAGCCCAGGAGATGGTGTGGCCACAACAGGAGGGCCTCAAGTCCTGAGTGCAACTCCTTGTACTAGCTGGGCCCTTTGCAGGAATGGAGCATTTATCTTCTAGAGCTGCTGTTTTGAAGAAGTTGCTCACACACATATGTCTGGGCACAACCAGTAATCTGACGTCCTCTTCTGGCCTTTCCAGACATTTCACACTTGTGGCAGGTAACATAACATAAAAAATAAACCAGTAAAACTTATGGTTTATCTCTGGAGTTTTCCAGCCAATGTAACAGCTGAACTAAGTAGAGTATTGCATAAGTTCATGTATATTTGAAGTCCAAGGACTGGGCCACTAATTATTGTAGGGAGCAGAGGAAGCCTGTATACATACAATAAAACTACTTAGAGTCTTGCCTTCCTCCCATTCTTGCTGAGAACATGGAACTGGGTTTTTTCCCTTTCTCAATTTTTAAATTCCTCTGTGATGACTTTGCACTTTCTAGGCAAGCACTCTAGGCTTTGCACATGCTAGGTAGACACTCTACCATTGAGCTACATCCTCAGCTGTGTGTGTGTGCATGTGTATATGAAAGAGAGAACAGAGAAAGAGAGATTTTGTTTTGTTTTTTACAATGGCCTGGAACTCTTTACCTTCCTGCTTCAATATCCCCAGTGCTGATAAAATTTTTATTCACTACTTTGTTTTCTTTTCTGTGTGTCTCTGCATTTTTCATTTACACATCCATGAATGAAAGTTCTGTCATTGTAAAATGGGATGGTGCATTGTTAACTAATGTCCCTGTCATACCCAAGCTCTAAGATTAGATTCCCAGAAGCTGTCTCCTCATTTGCCCTTCATTTGCTACCATTTGATGGCATCTGCTTCGGGTCACTGTCAACTTAAGTATATCCATATTCTCAACTTTTCAGGTAAGGAACCAGCTTATTAGAAAATTCACACAAATCTCAAAGACAGAAAATTAAACCACTGTGTTTCACACTTGGGTGAATTTAACAATGAATTGTAGAAACCAGATAGAATGTTCATACAGAATGTCCTCAGCTCACAGCAAAAATAGCTCAACAATAAAACTTATTACTTTCAAATCTGACAAAAAAGAACATGTTTCCTAGTGGTTGAAATTTGTCTGCGTATGAATTATGCTGTTATAATAAAACAAAAAACAGGGAGAGTTTGTAGAGGCAAACAAGAGAAAAATGATTGAAACCAGCCTGTGATCCCACTTTGAGATGGACCAGTTTCCTGAGCTTTGCTTCTAGATTGTCATGTCCCCTTGGAAACAATGGGCAGTGTCTAGAGACAGTGTCATCACTTGGGAGAGCCACACACGTATACAGTGCAGAGGCCAGAGCTACTGCTGAGCACCTGTACTGGCTGGTTTTGTGTCAACATGACACAAGCTAAAGTCATCAGAGAGGAAGGAGCCTCAGTTGAGGAAATGCCTCCATGAGATCCAGCTGTAGGACATCAATTAGTGATCAGTGGGGGAGGGCCCCGCTCATTGTGGGTGGTGCTGTCCCTGGGTTGGTGGTCCTGGGTTCTATAAGAAAGGTTAAGGAAGCCTCTTCCAAGGTCTCTGCATCAGCTCCTGCCTCCAAGTTCCTGCCTTTTCTTCCTTTGGTGATGAACAGCAATGTGGAAGTATAAGCTGAATAAACCTTCCTACCCAACTTGCTTTTTGGCCATGGTGTTTCATTGTAGCAATAGAAACCCTAACTAAGACAGCACCTTTCAATTCAATGTACTGTGTCATTCCAGACCAGCTATGTAACCTTCTGGACTTCAGCCTTCTTATCTATAAAGTAAACAGATGGTGGCAGCTAACAGTTGTTGAATATTGTATGTGAGACACTACCCTGAATGATATTCCACTGGCTTTTCCCAGCATCCCTGTAAGAGATCTCTGTTGTTTTATTGGGTTAACAGAGGTACTAAAATAGTAAAAACTCTTAGCATGTACCTTAACAGTGTGAGCACACAACTGTTACTTCCCTAGATTTTCAAGGCAGGGGTTGAGAGGTAGATCGAACTAAACGTATTTTCACTAATTCCAAGAATTTGGTTTGTCTCTAAATGAGATTCCTTGGTCTCTTCTTTATTTAGTGGAATTCTATGTTTACAAAAAAAAAAAAAAAAACACACACACACAACTTTGGCACTGGACAGATGGCTCATTGGTCTAAAGTGGGTATCATTCTTCCAGAAGACCGGAATTCAGTTCCTAGCACCCACTCAAGCAGCTCACAACTCTCTGTAACTCCAGCTCCAGGGGAGTCCAGTGTCCTCTTCTAGTCTCTGCAGATACTGTTTTCATGTGCACAAATGCACACATACAGTTATTTTTAATTTTTTATTTTATTATTTTTTTTGTTTTGTTTTTACAGAGAGAGTTTCTCTGTGTAGCCCTGGCTATCCTGAAACTAGATATGTAGATCAGCCTGGCCTCAAACTCAGAAAACCACCTTTCTCTGCCTGAATAGTGGGATTAAAGGCATGTACCACCATACCTTGCTCCACACACAGTATGTTTTAAAGTGAAAACATATACATATATAGGTTGAACCAGCTTTTTAAAAGTTTTTTTCAAAACAGGGTTTCTCTATGAATCCCTGGATGTCCTGGAACTCATTCTATATACCAGGCTGGCCTCAAATTCAAGAGATCTGCCTGCCTCTGCCTCCTGAGTGCTGGGATTAAAGGTGTGTACCACCACTGCCCTGCCCCACTGAACCTTTTTTTTTTTTTTTTTTTTTTTTTTTAAGATTTATTATGTATACAGTGTTCTGCCTGCACAACAGAAGAGGGCACCAGATCTTCTTACAGATGGTTGTGAGCTACCACGTGGTTGCTGGGAATTGAACTCAGAACCTCTGGAAGAGCAGTCAGTGCTCCTAACCTCGGAGCCATCTCTCCAACCCAACTGAGCTTTTTTTTTTTTTTTTTTCCTTTTTCTTTGTTTGTTTTGGTTTTTGGAGGCAGGGTTTTTCTGTGTAGCTTTGGAGCCTGTCCTGGAATTAGCTCTTTGTAGACCAAGCTGGTCTCAAACTCACAGAGATCTGCCTGCCTCTGCCTCCCAAGTGCTGGGAATAAAGGTGTGCACCACCACCGCCCTGCTGAATTATTTCTTTAATTCAATTATCTTTTGGATGAATGTGAAATGCATTCTTTTTTTTACATTTTTTATTATTGTGTATGATGTGTAAATGCAGGCTCTTGTACAAAGACATTTGTGAACGTCAGAGGGAAGGATCTTTCATTGTCTCACTTCATACTCTAGAGTACCTAGCCTTTGAACTTCTGGTGTGACTCTCCTTTTTGTCCACCTCTCATCTCCCCTTGGGGAGGGGGATTACAGATGAGAGCCATTGAATCCAGTTTTTGACTTGGGTTCCAAGGATGAAGCCCAGATGAACAGATGTATGTGGCAAGTCATCTCATCAGCCACCAAGAATGTGTAATGTATTCTATGGATTCATCTTGAAATCAAAAACTTGTCTGCCAGGGAACCTTAAGTCTCATTTTTTTAGAGGGTAGAAGGAATCAAATAATGACTTATACAAGCTTTATGAAGACAAGAATCCTGAGATTCCAGAAGACAAAGACTTTAACAAAATACAACTATTCCCAGGAAACAAAATATAGGGAGGATTTCAGGAGGCATACCTTACTTTATAAGCCATTTATTATTAGACAAACCAGTGCAAATAATGTTTGCCAGTTAATGACTACTGTAGCTTTTTTTCTTTTAAAATACAAGCTTTTTAATCAACTTCATAACTGAACTTGGATAGGCCCACTTGCCCAACAGGTTGCAGGTGATGGGTTCACATTTTCTAGGCTCAAGGGTGGGTGGCCTCTGCATGCCACAGGGGTCTGAGTGACAGCACAGATCTTGCTTGGCAGAAGGTAGGTGCAGATCAGCTGGGTCAACTATTTAAAGGTGGTCTGCAGCGCTGGCTGAAGGTGTATCTGAAGCATTGTCAGGTAGGTCTCCACAAGAAAGCAAGCCCAGAAGAGCAGCTCAGCCTGGGATCCTGACTCCTCTAAAGAGCCAGGGCCAGGCCAGGCAGTGGATGCTCCAAGTTTGCCTGGAAGGGCTCACTTATACAAGTCACATTCATAGGCACAGCTTGAGGCTTCAGCTGGACTCCGAGGCTGACCTGGCCACAGCCCCACAAGATCCACCCATCCTCTCCAGGTGCTAGTGTTTAATGAGGCCCCAAGGGGAACTGCTAGCCATCTTCCACACAGAACCAAGAAGCACAGCCCTTCCCAGCTTTTCTGTTCCCAAGAAGGCAGTGTGCACGAAGTCCTAAAAAATGAGGCACTGATATCCAAGCAAACTGGCTCAAGGGACCCAACTGAAGTACATGTTCCCCTCAAAAATGAGCCCCGGCAGGTGTGCCTGTGGCCCTAGCCAGTCCTGCCAGCACTACATTCAGCAGCTAAATGCTTGTTCCCAACAGCAGGGCTCTCAGGCTGCTCCAGATTCCAGCTGTTGTCACTGTCCACTGAGAAAGGCCAAATGCCCTTTGGTGCATCTGTTGGCACAGTGTCCTTTTTCACTATGCTTGTAGCAAGTGACTTGCTCCAACAACAAGTCACTTGACTCTGCATGACCTCAGTGACATGCAGGGCTCTCTGCTGATTGGGAGAAGAGTCTGACTGGCTGCATCAAGGATGTCTACCTTTGTAATGGTGGATTGTTACTTTGCAGGGAAGAGTTAAATAACATGGTTTTACTTCGGAAAACACGTGAATGCAAACTACCAATGGGAACAGAAAAAGAAAAAAAAGATGACCTCTTCTGCATGACCAGCAGGAAGAGGGCTTCTGCAATGGCCTGCCCCAGGAGAGTGGGCCGAAAAGAAAGTTCTGGGGATGATGGCAGGAGCTGCTGTTTGAAAAACACCATGTAGACACACAAAAACGATTACTTTGTTGGAGGCTGTATCTGCTGTGGTAGTGGGGGCTGCTCAGTGGTTCCCATGGGTAGTTCAAATCGAGGGTGAATGAATTTACATGAGGGTCCCTCAGGGAAGAATCCCAGGAGGTAATTAACATAAATGACTCTCCCAGTGTGTTGGTGCCTGCACAGGGGACTGTGCTTACAAAAGCAGAGGTCATACCAAGAGCAATCCTTAATCTTGGACTCAGGGTCAATGTACAGGAAGGGGCACACTTTGTTGCTGCATTCCTAGAACTTGGAGTAAAAGTATCATTAGCACATCTTGGTCATGTCGTACTCTTTATTTATTTGGTATTTTGAGATAGGGTTTCTCTGTGGTTTTAGAGGCTGTCCTGGAACTAGCTCTTGTAGACCAGGCTGGTCTCGAACTCACACAGATCCGCCTGCCTCTGCCTCTTGAGTGCTGGGACTAAAGGAGTGTGCCACCACCTCCCAGCTTCATTTCATACGCTTGTAAAAACTCACACTGGTCCTCTTTCTTGCACAGTCCTTTTAGGCAGTGTTTGCACACAACTGTCTTCTCATCACTAATGTTGCGGAATGGACATATGCCACCTTTGCCACATACAGCTTTCAAAAAGAACTTGAGGACAACAGCCCCTGACTTATACATGCCAGGGAAGGACAGCGGCTGGGCCCCGAACTGTTGCTCCATGGACATCTCCAAGTCGAATTTGATGTGGTCCACTCTGGCGGTGATTTTCTGCATGGTGGAGGTGGCCTCTGGCCCTGCTTCCCCTCGGGTCTCTTAGCTGCCCTGCCCACCTCACCTCGCTCTCTGCCTTCCTTTCCTTCTCGCCAATGCTGGAAGGGATGGCGGGCTATTGTAGTTTTTTTTAAAAATAGGGTCCCACATAACCCAGGCTAGCTTTGAATTCACTATGAAGTTTAGGATACCCATGAACTTCTGACCTTCCTGCCTCTACTTCTCAACTGCTGGGATTGCAGGCATACACCACACCTAGTTTTTATAGTGTATGCCAATCGATACAGGGCTTTGTGCATGCTAGGCAAGCAGACCATCAACTGAGCCACATTCCCAAACCTAATGTTTAATATTAAACAGCTGGGTACATCCAGGTGTTGAAAAGAGCATAGTAAGGGGTTTAGCAGCATCCCTGCCAGTAGCTCCTCCTCCTTTCCCAAGTCATGACAGTCCAAATACCTCTATTAACCAGCTTGACTTTCTTGGGATACAGACTGTGTAAAAAGCAGAAAAATTAGATGTTTTCAATGTGACTATATGAGAAAGAGGGACAAAGAGGGACAAAGAGATCCAGTGACCCCCCCAAAAGAGATCAGAGATCTATCTCTGACAGATATAGGATGCCTTCTGAGAACATCCACTCTCATTCCACTTCTTCAAGTCATCTCTATCCTTTTCCCCTCCCGTCTTGTCTTTTTTTGTTGTTTTGAGACAGGGTTCACTGTATATCCCTGGCTGGCCTCAAACTCAAGAGATCCACTTGCTGGGACTAAAGGCACTCCTTCCCTCCAGTCTTGTCTTTTTTTTTTTTTTTTTTTTTGGTTTTTTTAAGACAGGGTTTCTCTCTGTAGCTTTGAATCCTGTGTCCTGGATTTGGATCCTGTGTCCTGGAACTCGCTCTGTAGACCAGGTTGGCCTCGAACTCACAGAGATCAGCCTGTCTCTGCTGATTAAAGGCATGTGCCATCAATTGCCCAGCTAGTCTTAGTCTTTTTTTGTTGAGGGTGCTGTGCTGGGTGCTGAATGCAGGACTTCAATCACGATCAGCAAGCACTTACCCACTCTTCTATGGCCTCCAACCCCGAATCCCTCCAATATCTTTTTCCAAGTTAGCGACTGTCTAACATAAAAAATTGTCATCTGACTCCCTCTCTGCAATGTGCTCGTTCCCCAAGCATTCCTGCAGCTAGCACAATGCCTGGCTCTCCACCACTGTCTTAGTCTGTGGCTAACGTGACAAGTGAGGCTCCTTTTACTTTCCTGGTTTTCCAATAATTTGGGCAACACTCAGAACAGGAGACAAGACAGCTTGCAGGCTGACGGCCTCCATTCTCCGCATCTGTAGAAATAAGACTAGAGGTATCAAGGACACAGCAGCTTCACAATTCTGTAAGTTAAATACGGCCAAGCTGTGTGGCTTGGCAGTGCGCAGGGATGACAAGCAAAAGCAAGTAATCTAAGAGTTGGGAGGCGGCCGGAGCATAGCCTGGCCTGCCTTCCCGCATAGAAAGCCCGCAGACCCGAGCGAGGCCATCGGCGCCCACCTCAGGAAGGGCTCTGGGAAGGTGTGGTCTCTGTGTGAGTGCGTCAACTGTACCCAGCAGGAACAGTGACAAGTCTGTCCCGGAAATGCACGTTACTGAGGGAAACACAGGGTACCTTTTAACCCAGTTGGGCTGTCGCCCCCTAAAGAGCTACGCGACCTATCTAACATGGCTGCGGCGCCAGCGCGGCGAAAAGCAACGGAAGAAAATGGTTCTGGAATGCGTTGCCAGCTTGGTGAACCCGGGACGGCGAGGCGAGGGGCCAAGCCATTCATGAGGTCCTCAAGAGCCTCCGGATTCTAATACCCACTGATGCCTGAAACCTGACCAAAACAACATGGAGGATGGCTATTGTGTCTGCATAAATCCAGCCTCAAAAGCCGTTTGAGCTCGGAATGCTGGGAAAAGTCTATTCTCTAAACAGAATGCGCTACGAAGACTGCGCATCCTCGTAACAGTGGGTCGGCCAACCTTGCAAACAATGTTACGTTGCGTCGGAGGCTCGCCCCACCCCCAGCCCACGTTCTAGAGATGGCGGCGCGAGAGCGGTACGCCCGTTACGTACACTGCCTTATTTAGGTGGGCTGCCAAGGGCTCCCATCTCCGTCACTGACGTAAAACGCTTCCTAGAATGTCTGTAGCACCACACCGAGCCCTCGGGCTCCTCCAGACGCTGTTTACGTAGCGTCTCGGCCGTGCGTAGCGTTAAGTTGAAGCAGTCTCAGCGGCCGCCGCCATTTTGTGTAGTCGCTGGGAAGGAAAGGAGACGCCTAAACCGTGGCACCGCCCGGTTTGAGCGTGACCAGACCTCCCCACTGTACTAACAACCCCGATTCTCTGTGTTTTGCTACCGTCTCCGACGAGAGAGGCGGCGACGGTGGCGTCTGCGACGGGAGACAGCGCGTCGGAGCGAGAGAGCGCCGCGCCTGCCGCCGCCCCAACAGCGGAGGCGCCGCCACCATCGGTCGTCACTAGACCGGAGCCGCAGGCTCTCCCCAGCTCGGCCATCCGTGCCCCGCTCCCAGATCTTTATCCGTTTGGGACCATGCGCGGAGGCGGCTTTGGGGACCGGGATCGGGACCGAGACCGTGGAGGGTAAGGGGGAGGTGCAGGCGGGGGGCGGGGTAGCCCTCGGCTCGCGGCGTACAATGGCGGCGTTGCGCGGGCCTCTGGCTCCGGCGGGCGCCTCTGCGGACTGCCCTCGTGGCTCGGAGGCGGGCCAAGCAACGCTGCCCTGCCTCGCAGGTCATTTGGTCTCCTCCACACGCCGCAGTGTCTGTCCGGGAAAATCGACCTCGGGATGGTTTCCTTTCCGTTATGTCGCCAGCCATCCTCTTTAGAGGGTCCCGAGTCGAAAGGCCTTTCTGATTCTAAACGAGGCTTTACTCCTCTTCCGTTATATTTTGGTTCATTGGAAACATTGGAATGGGAAGTGTTGGAACTGAAAGATCCAGAGGTGCAGGTGACATTTTCATTTATTGCCTTTTAAGGATCCAGTTCTACTGCAGAATTAAGTTTAAGGCATAAGCTAGGGATATATATATACACACACACATACACACACACACACATATATATATATATATATATATATATATATATAATTTTTATTTATTTCTATATAACCGAGGAAGCTTCGTTTTGTGTTGCTAGAAAATTCCTTGACTGTGTGCCCTGGAATCAATACAACAAAAAGCCAACATTGTTCGTGGTTCCTAGATACAAGAAACAATTCACATCTAGATAAACTCTGGGTGCTTCATATTTGGGTACAAATAAAGTCTTGGCTGGTTGTGGTTTGCTCACTTCCCAGCACTCAGGAGGTAGAGACTTGTGAGTTTAAGGCCAGCCTGATAGATGTTGGGAGTTCCAGGACAACCAGAACTACATAGTGATAAAGCTGTTGAAACCAAGAGTACATCTTGAGGTGGCCCATGCCTAGCACCAAGGCAGGAGCTTGATTATAAAGGTCAGCCTGGGCTACCATAGATTTTGTGTCAAAGCAAGGTGATGGTTTTCAAAGTACTAGGTGGGGTTGGTTGTAGAAATAAAAACAACTAAGAATAAGATTTGTAAAGGAATCTTAATTTTAGAAGCTTTACTTTTTTTCTTGATCAAGATTCAAGCAGCATTAGCCAGCCTGGATGGCATGCACCTTTGATCACCACCAGCTGGGAGGCAGAGGCAGGTGAATCTCAGTGAGTTTGAGGAGGCCAGCCTGGTCTATATAGTAAGTTCAGGATAGCCAGGACTACACAGAGAAACCCTGTTTGGAAAAGCCAAAAAGGAAGATTCAAGCAGTGCTGGATTACAGCAAGAAAAATGGGAAATAACACATATCACTGGAGCTGGGCAAAAAAAAAATCCCTTAAAATTGGGTTTGGGCCATTTTTGCAAAACTGAGAAAATCTGGCATCCTATTTCTTAAGTGTTTGAGCATTGTGCTGAGTGGTTTTGTAAGTGGGGTGGAGTGGCCAACTCAGAAGGATTTTTTTCACTGTGATATATAGCTGAAAGCCTGTGTGTGGCCTTTTAAAGGGCTGACGGGTGTACGTTACCTCAGTTCTGCCTGCTGAATGTAAATAACCAATGAATCCCAGTAAAATTTTTTGCCATAAAAATTTCTGTGTGGCTTAGTCTGCCGCATTTGGCCTAGAATGTGCCATGTTTCAGTGTCCCAAGTTTTGGGATCACAAGTGTAGACCCACCACATCAGGCTGTGGCAGAGAGGGTTTTAGATTGTAAGTTTTGTCCCACCTCTCCCCAAACTGGCTGGTCTTGACATTGAAACTCTTCAGAGTAGCTATTACTCAATTTTCTTAGTGTTTGACAAGGAATAAGGAAATGAGACCTTTAAATGCCCTATTTGTGTATCAAAATAAAGACCTGTATTTTTATATAGAGTAAGGCAGATAAGGATGATATTTGGATTGTTCCAGGAACAATTAGCTTCTAATTTCATGCATTTTAGGTTTGGCAAGTGGCCATAACTGTATTCTTATTTGGCTTACCTGTTTGTTGTAAAGGATATATATATATGAATTTATTTAAGGTCAAGCAGTGGTGGCACACCCCTTTGATCCCAGCACGCCAGAGGCAAAGACAGACCAATATCTGTGAGTTCAAGGTCACCCTGGTCTGCAGAGTGAGTTCCAGGACAAGCTCCAAAGTCATAAAGAAACCTGTCTCAAAAAACAAACAAAAAAAGACGTAATTCTAAATGTTTGAGGGGGTTTTTGTGTTATACAAGGTCTCCCCTAGTCCAAACTGACCTTAACTCTGATCTTGCCACCATCTTTTCAAGTGCTAAGATTACACATGTTCAGTACCATATGTAACTTTGAATTTTATTAAAACAAAAAACCTTAACCTACATATTGATGGTTTCTTGTGTAACTCAGTAGTAGTATTTGAGCTTGGTGTAGTAGCTCAGGTACACCTGTAATCCCAGTGTTTATA